AGCACACACACACACACTCACTCACTCGACACGACTGACTCGGACTGAGGGTCGGACGCAGACACAGTGGCAAGGCACAAAGTCGAAGTCTTGGATTCCTTCCGAATGCCGAAACAGCAAGTCACATTGAGTACGAGTACAGCAGCAGAAAACTGGTACGAGACTGGTCCCCGTACCATACGGGGAGCCAGTATAAGTACCGGTGACACATACGGTACCAGGGGCATTTCTGCAAAGGCCCCGAGGGCAGAACTGAAAAATGCGGTATTTGAAAGTGGCGCCCGAATTGCAGCATGGCGCCAGTCGTCCAAAATCCTACGGTACCAAAGGAGGGGTTTGGAAAAAGGGTGCCAGGCCGAAAACGGGATGCAGCCGAAACAACAAAAAGATAGACCAGGGATCGAGCCTTGATGGAGTCCGTAACACGTATGGTAGTCCTGCATCTCTACTACATCTAGTAGGGCCGTCCTGACGATCCTTACATCGACATCCATATTAGTCAGATTCATCTCCTCTAGCTCCTGCATGTCCGCTTCTCTCCTCTGCATCCAAGCCCTATGTCTAATCATCCTTTCTTTCTCTGCTTGTATCTCATCCAACGCCTGCTGTAGCTGCGCTTTGTGAGCGCTTGCTCGCTGAATGGTGACCTCTTAGGAGTTAACACTAACTGCTGGCTGACCATTACACCAGCGGACTGACTCTGGGTCTGTGTGCCCGTGGCCCCACTAGTCCCTGAACCACTGGCCTGGGAACTCTGCTGCGCAGAGGTAGCCATTGCGGCCGCTGAGGCAGCTGCCTCTCTGGCAAAGGCTCTGTTTGCCTCTGCGTCCCTTGCAATCCTCTGCTGACACTGCCTTTCCCTAGCCTCCCGGAACAAAAGACGATCTCCCTCGGTTCCTAAAGCTACGTGAAGCAACGGGAGTCACGAATGCAAGATCCAACCGTCCGGATCAATGTAATCTCCGTTGCTCATATGCTACACCAATCTGCACAATCTGCACTAGGACAATCTCTGTTGCCTACCGCAGCTTAGTGATTAAACCGATTAAAATAATAACATAATTAATCGGTGGCATTATCAGAAGATACACAGTTGGGTTCAACAGGTAAGTCCAGATTCCTACAATAACACTATTTTACTTGACTAGTTCGCAACAGAAAGCAAATGCAGAAAGAGAATCAATTCTACCTATGCAGTCTGTCAGATGTGTTAATGACTGTCACATCTAACTAATCAAAGATAAAAATAAAATAATTTGTATGGCTGTTTGCAGGATGGAATTGTACACGAACTATAACCTGAAATCTACCTCTCCCTCAATTCTTCTTGAACTCACTTGACGTCAGCGTTCCTGAGCAATCCAGATGGCGCTGGTGTCTAAAGGTGTGCATGGCCCAACCCTGTGCCCCAAGTCAACGCTGAGCTGGCCAGCCCTGCACTATTTTTACCCTTGCGTGCAGCGAGCCTTACACCGACCAATTGGCTGATCAAGAGGCAGTTGACGGACAACCCCCAAGGTCCTCAGGAATTATTTAACGTCGCAGTCAGGACGACGATCACAGCCAATGGAAGGTATCCCACCAATATTTATTTAAAGATGTCCGGTACTTGTCTCCCCTATAGGGCTGGCAGGCCCCTTGTGACCTCTAATTAGTGCAGCAGGCAGACAAAAGGACAAAGCAGCAAAGCATGCGTGCTCTACTCCCGGTGGGTTGGCATGGGGACCGTGATCCAGTGTTTCGTCCAGGGTCCTTCAAATGGCAACACCCTCTCCTTCCAGATGCTCCACGTGAACAATGCCGACTCTCAAGGTTGAGCGCACTTGACGACTCCCATGAGAGGACTCTCAAGACAGAACACACATCCTCACGGTAAGAAGTGTCGAAGAGGGTAGATAAGGTTAAGAGCAGCGTACCTCAAACTAGCTGCCCCCAACCACAGATATTCTCACCAGATGACCTGACGTCGATTGCGATGACCAATCATTGCCTAGGCACAACCAGCATTATGCCGCCATTCCACCTCAGCCTCAATCGTGCGTCAGATAGTTCTCATCACACCGCAAAACACCCAATATCACCACATTAGCCTTCCTGGCGATACCCCTCATCTCCTGGGTCGCCTGCTTGCCTTCTCCCTCCTCACTGCACACTTTCCGCGGTCGCTCCCTCAGCTATCCGCGTGCATGCACCGCATAAGTGCCAGATGAGCGCATACGTAACCACAGCTCTGATACGAAAATGCAAGGAAAATGAGCGATAGCGAAATAAAGAAACCAATCCGCATCATACATTTGAAACCAAATAGTCTTGACCTCGAACCAAATGCAGAATCGCAACTGGAAATACACCAAATAAGAGCACAGCAGAGCTCACAAATGACAATGTTGGAATAGAGTCGTCATCATAATCAATGAACCAATGTTGTTCCCCTATGTGGTGCTCGGCACCCAGACTACAGCTGGCAGATCCTATCTAGCCTATCTACAAATGCCGCCGGTGACGTCAACAGCTTTCCGAAGTATGAGCAGATCTCGGCCACTGGTGTCCGCATCAAGCAACAGGTATGTCCTCGCCAGACTCACAACCTCGATCCCCCACACAGATGCCACATGCACCCGAAGACCACCATGCGTGTCATCCAGCAATGTGCAGGCTAGCCCGGCTATGGCTGCCTGTGTTCACCCTGTCGCTAGTGAGCTTGTAGGCACTCGTGTCCGCAGCTAGCGCAGCAGCGCTTACACATGAAGCAGCGAGTGCCCGAATGAGCTGCCAGTGGCCAGGCCCTTTCCTTTATGGTGCCTGGCTGGTCTGGGCCTCTGCCCAGAAGCTTCCGGTAGGCCCCAAGTGGCTGAGCAGCCTCTGTCCCTGGGGAATATCCCACAAGGCCTCTGGCAGTTACGCATGTCCAACTGCCAGACGTGCTGTGTACAGTTTGTGCCTCGTGTCTGGCCCAGGGCCTGCCTCCGATTCACTCAGGATGGCCCTGGAAGCCTGAAACAGATGTTGTTACGCAGGGCCTGGGCTCACTCAACCAACTGACGCTGTGTAACTGTCTGATATTTCCCCAGTTGCGGAATACACAAAAATAATAGGCCTCTCGTAACTTATCAGGCCGCCTTCACTTAGGGCGGCCTTACTCGCTGGAACAGGCCCAAAAGGGCTTACCGAGGCCTTGAGCCTCGCACTTGGATCGTGGCCGGAATATACCCACTCGCACTTGGATCGTGGCCGGAATATACCCGCTCGCACTTGGATCGTGGCCGCCCTGCTTCCCTGTCACTACCCTAGCTATGGTTGTGGTCGATGCTCCCTTCTTCCTCGAGCGTCGTCTTGCCCAAGTCGCTTGGTCACACAAGCAGCAGCAGCGCTTCCGCAACTACAGGATTGATCAATTGATGAGCCGCTGCCCTGTGGCAGCTAAATATAGGACTGGTCGTGGCTTGGCCTGCTTCAGACCGGTACCGGTCAGCCGCGGCCTGTCTCCTGCAATCATTTTGTAGGTCCGGAAGCTTCCTGGACTTTCCTGGGACATGCTGCAATTTCCGTGGACTTGGGGACTGGACTTGGACTTTCCGGACTCTTCTGTGGGGTACTGGACTGGCTGTACAACGACTCAACCTTCCAGACTTTTCTGTCGGGTACCGGTGCGACTGCACATCCTCTTGACCTCTCTGGATGCTGGGCCTACTTGGATCTACGACACCCCTACTGCCCTATTGGGCCTACTCTACTGAACCTTCGGACTTGGGACTTTGAAATTTCTGGAACCTTGGGGATTTGGTGCCGGGCTTCCGGGGTTTGCAGGGTGAAATCCTTTCACTATGTGCAGTGGCCCCTCCTCGTACTCAGCTATGGTACCAAACCTCTCAGGAACTGTCAAGCAGTTGTACTTCAGGACATCTGTTCAAATTGGAAATATACAGAGGAGATTAGCATGGCCCCTGCCCCCAGTTGTTAGCGGTGTCTGCTCTGATCAGCACCACTAGCACTGACAGGGGCGTGTTGCAAAAAAAAAAAAAAGCATGGCCCCTGCGCAAGGATGACACCCATAAATTGAGAAATGGATATCCATTAAAATCCGAAATGTATAGAGAAGAGGAAATATAGTATATACAGAGAAGATTGTCATAGCCCCTGTGCAAGGATGACACACATAAATTGAGAAATGGTCAAAATTGAAGAAAGGAGCTATCAAGTAGCAGTTGTCCTATGGGATCAGTTGTCCCCTGAGTACCTCTGCTGGTTTCAACGTTGTCAAGCTTGTTTACAGGCTAATTCACACATACCTTTCGCCTCATGCGGGCAATGCCCGTCTGCGAGTATGACGCACAGATGACTGACAACTGCTTGGTCAGTGTGCCTCCAATCAATCACTGCAGCATCGCATCACTAAACCACAGGGCCAAGTTATCGTGGTTAGATATTGTGTGCAGGATAAAATATTCATCATCCGTCAGTGCCGGTGCATCAAACAACAGCCATGTTGGGACCAGGACTGGAGGTATTGAAAATAGACGTGTTTCACATGAACATTTTGCATCAGCATTATGTTATTAAGCAACTGTTGCTGGAAGTGGTGATGGCTAAGTTTTTTGAGTGAAGGAAAATGATTGGCCTGTCATGCGGAAAGATTGAGATGTTTTCCATCTGCTTGCTGCTTGCGGTTTGGTCTGCTTATCCTTCAACGTTTCGCGGTAGAAGTTTGTTCTGATGGAAATCCGTTGTGCCCTGTCTTCTGCAACAGGTTCACAGTGGAAGGATGGTAGCACGGGTTGGCCCATTTGTGTGTTTGCGAACAAGCGAGTGAGCTGTGTGCGTGCGTGCTAGCATCTGTGTGTGCGTGTGTGTGTGTGTGTGTGTGTGTGTGTGTGTGTGTGTGTGTGTGTGTGTGTGTGTGTGTGTG